AGAAACTTCACCAAACTTGGAGAAATCTGTGTTTGGGATGGACAGTGTCATATTGGGCATACCTCAAAGTAGTATTGACCATCTCGAGGGTGGAGAAACTTCACCTAAATTTGGAGAAATCCGTGTTTGGGATGGAGAGTGTCATATTGGGCATGGGATATATGGCCCAGGCCATGAGACAGAGGAAGCCAAGGTAGAGGCCATCAACTCTTGGCCGCAACTTGCAAATGTGTGTGTACTGCAATCTTTTCTTGGGTATGGCTTGTTACTATTGTTCATCATTTCTCTGCCGTTGCAAATCCACTCAGTCACATGACCAGCAAACATGCTTCAGGAGTTGGGCAAGAAAGGGGTAGGGGGAGGAGTACACAAGAGGAGGAAGGAAGGAAACAGGTAGGGGGTGGAGTTGTACAGGAAGTGAGGGAGGGGGAAGGAAGGAGGGCGGGACGGAAGTGGAGGGACAAGGAATAGAACAGAGGAACAACTTCACAGGGTTCTCAATACTCGCAACTGGAGCAGACTGCTTAGTATGGCACAAGAGGCCAGTCAGTGTTTGGGTTGCAGGGAAGTTTGACACGAGCATCAGGCATTGCATATGGTAAGGCTCCTGGTTGCTAGGAACATAGATGCATACGGACAACAATTGCATATTCCAGCCCGTCTACAAATAGGACATGCCATGTGAGAGTGCCGTACCAAAGTACAATGTTGACTGTCATCATACGCATGAAACCAAAACTTGCATGGGCTATACCTCCATAATCCTCACTACATAAAGCATGTCAATCATATGCTGGCCAAATTTTGCAGGTGTTTCCAGAGTGTAGGCAGGCGATGACAGGGCCTGATTCAAAGTACGGATGTTCAGATTCAAAGTACGGATGTTCAGCTGTTGCAAGATGTGGTCTGCAACAGCTCGCCCTGGCGGTGATAACCTTTCAGTACATCGCACTATAGGTGGTTCATGTGAGAGTCTATTTCCCACCACAGGCTGCTGCACCTGTTGCTCATGTCCAGTAATCAATGAGATCCGATTACAGGTGCTCCAGATGTATGCCCAACGTTGCATGTGGGACATGGACGGAGAGGATGTGCCACACAATGAGAGTCCACACAGTGGATACACATACTTTCCATGACAGCTCCCGGGAAACATTGATGACACATGGCATGTTCCGGGCATTCTGGCAGGAAAGCATGCTGCCATGTGCAGTTATCTAAGCATGGCATGCCAAGGCCACAACAGCATCTCATGCCAAGGCCAAGTGCAAGACAACGGGCCACAGCAGAGGCTGGCAGTGACCATCCCTCCATGGTGCTAGGAGCAGAGATTGCGCCGTGTGCATGGTAACCGGACTGTACCTGTGGGGAGACACAATGGCAGGGGACAGCCACCACCCTCTGGAGGGGCCCTCTCACTATCTGCAGCACAATCTGTCCGATCTACCAGGGAAAAGCAGCTGCCTGGCCATGTTATGAAGAGGGAGGAGGCTTGGCAGGATTGTTCTCTGGAGGCTTTGCATCTTGTGAGTGCTCATCCAGTTACTGTTCCTGATTGACTAGCCAGACCAAGCGGGACTATGCCACTCGGTGATAGTCAGAGGTCACATCTCCCAGCGAGCGCACCCCACTTCCATTATCCACAGGGTGCACGAATTATCTGCAAAGGTAACAGCAGTGAGATGACCCGGGCGATGCAGGATGTGCGGGCAAATATTTGGGTCCAAGTCGGGCATATAATTCTGTGGATGCCATAGACAATACTGTTATCCTCTTGACAGACAGCACGGTCCTCTTCTATCCAGTGAATAATGTATGCAAAATCAGAAACAGTATAGTTGTTGTGATTCTAAGCGAGGAGACACACATTAACGCCATAGTACACACAGTGGCCACGCTGTAGCACTATCAGATCATTTGATTCTGCAAATTACATGGCAGGGCGAAGTCCATTCTGCTCTAGCATGCATTCCGGATAGAGATGATCTCCATGATCAACGGCACTTCTCTGAGTGCTAATCGTGCAAATGCTGCACAGGTGGCTGCACCTCCTGTCTGGTGCACACGCAGGCCCACAGCACTGTGAAAACCATCGCCACATCGTGGACATCGACTTTGTATGTACTTACTCCTGACTTGTGTGTTTTAGGAGCAACAACGTCGTTCCGTATGGTTGCAAGCATGGAGTCTAAGTACATCTCTGACCC